TACAACTTACCACAAAGGCAGGTGCTCCATACACCTTACCACACAGGCAGGTGCTCCATACACCTTACCATACAGGCAGGTGCTCTATACACCTTACCACAAAGGCAGGTGCTCCATACACCTTACCACAAAGGCAGGTGCTCTATACACCTTACCACACAGGCAGGTGCTCTATCCACCTTACCACAAAGGCAGGTGCTCCATACACCTTACCATACAGGCAGGTGTTCTATCCACCTTGCCACACAGGCAGGTGCTCCATACACCTTACCACACAGGCAGGTGCTCTATCCACCTTACCACACAGGCAGGTGCTCTATTCACCTTACCACAAAGGCAGGTGCTCTATCCACCTTACCACACAGGCAGGTGCTCTATCCACCTTACCACACAGGCAGGTGCTCTATCCACCTTACCACACAGGCAGGTGCTCTATACACCTTACCACAAAGGCAGGTGCTCTATCCACCTTACCACACAGGCAGGTGCTCTATTCACCTTACCACACAGGCAGGTGCTCTATACACCTTACCACACAGGCACTCTCGGGAAATGTGACTGAGTATGTCTTGGCCGTAACCACCACCGAAATGTAGCTCACAAGTAACCAGTTCACACGATGATGTATTCCGCAAGTTAGTAAAACAAAAGAGGTGATTATTACCTTGAGTATTTCAGCATTCATGAGTGGTATGACGATGCTGAGACCGTACATGACGACATCGGCGCCCTCCATCTTCACACCATCACTGGGCTCGTTTTCATCTTAAGTATGCAGCATTTCAGATATTTATGGATGAAGGATGACATTCTTTGTGAGTAGTTGTCTCTGACTAATAGGGGTGACTACTGAGGGTGAAACAACTATTGCGATAGTCTACTGCAACATGCTAAAACTATTGCGATCAACTATTGCAATACTATTGTAATAGTATTTTTCTCCTTGAATTGTCTTATTTGAAGTCATTTACCTGCAAACAAATGCATAGTTTATATGTAATATAAACAAGTTGAAGTAGTTTCAGTCTCTTTTAATAACTGACAAGAAACGTAAAACCCAGATCAAGTTAACAGTTAAAACAAACTCAATGAAGCTGCAAGTCTGCACCCAAACAATCTGATACTTCCTGTATTTTGCTCTGAGCATTTATCAACGGAAGTCAATTACTAAACTATCGATAGTCACACATACTATCGATGCATCGATAGTTTTTCGTTTCTGCCATCGATTAATTGCTATCAGACACTCAATCCATCTGTACCATTAGCATTGTATAAACTGAAGATATCAGCAGTGAGCTTCACAAAACTAGTGCTCACGGTGGCTGAGAGAACATTAACACAGACCACCAGTTAATGGTGGAGTGAGTGAGTGAGTATAGTTTTACACCGCACTCAGCAATATTCCAGCTATATGGAGGTGGTCTGTAAATAATCGAGTCTGGACCAGACAATCCAGTTATCAACAGCATGAACATCGATCTGCGCAATTGGGAACCAATGACATGTGTCAACCAAGCCAGCGAGCCTGACCACCCGATCCCGTTAGTCGCCTCTTATGACAAGCATGGGTTACTGAAGATCAATTCTAACCCGGGCCTTCACGGGTCCAGTTAATGGTGGAAGGTACTGAGAGTTTCTTTACCTGGCTCTCCGAAGTCGATGAAGTCTTTAGACAGCAGGTTGGTGAGCAGCTCCATCACCAGCAGTATGTCCTGGTATTTGTTCTCTTCCTCCTCACTCACATCTATCAGCCGCTTTCCTGACACACACAACACCACTTATTATAGAATCACTATAAAGCCAGCTCCATGAAATTTACTGAAGCCTTACCTGTGCTGTGAGTAAGTGAGTTTCGTTTTACGCCGCTTTTAGCAATATTCTAGCAATATCATGGTGGGGGACACCAGAAATGGGCTTCACACAATGTAACCATGTGGGGAATCGAACCCGGGTCTTCGGCGTGACGAGCAAACGCTTTAACCTCTAGGCTACCCCACGGCCCCTACCTGTGTTGTGAGTACCAAACAAAGAAAAAACACAGTTGCATTACACTGTATGTCTCCCGGAATCAGACACAAGAAGACCAGACTCACCTGTGTTGTGCTTGGAGTAGGTCTGTATTGCCGATAGACTGAGCTCGTACAGCTTCCGTGCCTTCATCTGATAAATGAAACCAGTTCAAACACATGTAGTAAACAAAATCCCCTTAGGAGCAGAAGCCAGAAAAATCTAACAATATTTATCATACGACTATTACTAATTTTTTATTCAAGTCTTGTCAGAAACAGGGTGGCGAGGAGCATCATCATGAACATTATGCTATTAGTGATGACACTTTTGTCATCACTGGATTCCTACGGTATATTACTATATATTTCAAGCTTGAACCATACAGGTGAAATACCTCACTCAGGTAGCACAACTGCTTGTTGACGATCTCGGAGAACAGCTCTAGGATCATTGGAACAACTTCCTCATAACTGTGGTACAGATCTACAGGGGCGGAAGAAGGAACAGCCACTGAGAATAATTGGCATTGCAAGACCAGACACATATATCTGTTTGAATCAATATATAAAAGTATTATATTGCATGGTGCATTACTGACATTATTTTCAAATAAGTGTGTGAGGTGTGTGAGTGAGCGTGTGTGTAAGTGAGTGAGTGAGTGAGTGAGTGAGTGAGTGAGTGAGTGAGTGAGTGAGTGAGTGAGTGAGTGAGTGAGTGAGTGAGTGAGTGAGGTTACACTGTATTCAGAATGTGAGCTTCATCATGTTCATGTGTGTAGAAAGTCCACAGTGACGCTTTTCTTAGACATTACGACTCTGGTGAAGCCCACGATCGTGGGTTGACTGCTTGCTAACATAATCATGATGAATCAGGATTCAAACCCAGCCATGTCAACCAATGACCCAGTAGTAGGAAATACAATAGTGACTCACCGAGCAGCTTGACACTCTCTGCCAGGAGGGGAGAGAGGAAGAGGAAGATGCGGTCCAGGTTGATGAGCCTCGATCCCTGTGCTATCCCCAGCAGCACATCCAGGACGCCCATCACAGCATTCTTACACACAACCTTCTTGTCAGCAAAGTTCTCCTGACACACCAGGGCATAGAAGCGGTCGTGGACGGACTGCAGAACCTGTGATAGTCAGTGTCTTTATGAAGGGTCTACACACAAATTTGGTGTGGATTTACAGTATTGACAGTGGGATAGTCTTTGTAAGACTAGATCTGTAAATAAAGGCTTCAAGAACCATTTTGATAACCCTGAGGAAAGCAGAGTTCATTGTACAATCTGATGATAACATAAGCAAGTATTGAGGAATCATGCTATATTGCTTTCTTGTTTAAAGCTGCACTCAGTAATATTTCCAGCTATATTGCGACGGTCTGTAAATAATTGAGTCTTAACCAGACAATCCAGTGATCAACAGCATGAGCAACTATCTGTAGGGATACAATGTCTCAACCAAATCAGTGAGTCTGACCACCCAATTCTGTTAGTTGCTTCTTATGGCAAACATGGGTTGCTGAAGACCAGTTCTAACCCAGATCTTCATGGGCACAATTCATGTGACAAAACATTTGAACTTAACAATCACATACTCTAGGAAAGCATAGTACTGGTACTTACTGACAATGATTCTCTTTCCAAGGAACCTCAACTTTAACTTACAAAGATTTTACCATATTTTCCAGGATAAACCTGCAATTACTAATCAACAACATGGACATGAAGTGAAGCACCTACCAGTTTCCAGTACTCCTCCTTGTTGGAGTCTTCCCGGAATCCGACCCCTGCCAGTACGAGAGCCTTCATCATGAGACGACGGACTGAGGACGGCATGCCCTCCACAACAGCATCATTGTTGGCCTCCATCCGGGCCAGCTGCCACAGGTTCTCTACCTTGATCACATAGGAAGCCCTGAAAACATCATGTTTCTGTTTGGTTCAATTCAGACTTATCCAGGACACCTTGTTTTCAAGCTGGTCTAAATTATTAACAAGGGTTTTCAAGCATTATTTTCTAGGGGACACATTTAATTTTCCTGCAAATTAAAAAGGAAACACAAAGACTGACTGACTGAGTTTGGTTTTACGACGCTTTTAGCAATATTCCAGCAACATCACGGCGGGGGACACCAGAAATGGGCTTCACATATTGTACCCATGTGGGGATTCGAACCCGGGTCTTCGGCGTGACGAGCCAACGCTTTAACCACTAGGCTACCCCACCAACCGAAACACAAAGAGAAGTTCAAATGTTTGAAAGGCATTTACAAGTGACACACATAAAGAGAAAATTATGGATGTCAACTTCTGTAACTGAGTCAGTGAGATCAGTCCAATAATGTTTCGAACACTTTCAGTTACCCTATCACAGATCACAGCTTGACATACGAGGTAACAAGGGTTCATGGGTTCAAGCTCAGTGAGAAAATGTCATAATGATACAGCTATCAGAAGTCAGGGTACCTGGCCTTTGTCTCCACCAGTGCTGACAACATCTCCATCGTATCTTTGAGCAGGGACTCTTCACTACTCCAGATGTTGAGGTTGTTGATGGTCTTCTGCAGCAGGAAGGAAATAGTCCACTGTGCTCCGTCAGTGTCACGACCAAACGCAGCCGACAGTGCCATGCTCATCTACAACAACACACACAGCAGCTCTTTACCTCAGACACCATGCTTATACAGTCTTAGGGAAACAGAAGCCAATAACTTCATAAAGAGTCCTAGTACTGAGATACTAGTATTATAAAGGTTAACCCTCATTGTTTCAAATTAGTTTAATCTATGGCATGCAGAGGCGGTCAACCTTTGTAATATTAAATAATGAGGTCATCCATACGTTTTTAAGGGTAGTACCCCTTCAAAACTGATGTAATGTCAGCAGACGTGACTTGTACCTATCATGTACCCTACATTTAACAACAGCTGAAGTTAAACTCAACCATAAGACACTTCAGTAGTGATTTTCTTATCATCAATATTGATACAAAATGAATATGTCTTACAGAATCTACTCTATGCAAAGAGGCACATTACTTCAAAACCATTTAGCTTTTTGAGGTGTTTATATTGTTAGTAAACTAATAAACGGTGTCAACAAATAACTATTAAAAGACTTTGGTTTAGAATATCAACATGGAACAGCTAGTGAAATACAAAGCCTAAGATAAATGCCTCATTCATTGCACAACTGACAATTAGTTGTCTGACAATCAGTGTTCCCTTTTCACCCATTGTTTTCGAAAATGGTGCAAACTTTTAACATAAACAAACAAAGAAACAAACAAACATGCACAAAGGGCTTTGATCTACAAAGCAACAACTGGTGAAAGTCAACTAATAGTATGGAAGTTAAGATTGTCAGGAGTGTTATAATACTTATTCACAAATTGATCTTTGTTAATTTTTCGCAGGTTCAGTTGTAATTTGATCATTCCTTACATGTACTAAGATGCCATATTGTTTCACAACCAGCACGATTTGAAGTACCCGACATGTATTACATCTAACATGATGCTGTAAACACATCAGAAATACTGAATGACAATTACATCTTGCACCTTCCTAACAACAAACAGTGAGGCAGAAATAATAGTCTGGTTCTCAGGCATTCTCCATAACCTCGGAGACATTCCCCATAACCTCGGAGGTATTCCCCCATAACCTCGGAGGCATTCTCCATAACCTCGGAGACATTCCCCATAACCTTGGAGGCATTCTCCATAACCTCGGAGACATTCCACCATAACCTAGGAGGCATTCTCTATAACCTGGGAGACATTCCCGAAAACCTCGGAGGCATTCCCCATGCCTCGGAGGCAATATCAATGAAACATGGACCCCTTACCTATGCTATATCTTTAAATTGTTTTCCTGAGAACCAGTGCTATTTGAAAGGTTAGTACAATGGTAGAACAGTGGTGTACTCACACAGACGGGGCGAGAGGGGGAGGGGGACTGAGGGGAGGAGACCTACAACAGCAGGACCAATCAGATTGAAGATCACACAACGTGGAAACATGGCAGATGATCGTTTTTCTTTTAAAGACATCAGACTACTAATTGTCAGGTTTTAGAGTGTCTAGATGTTCCTACACATGTACAGGGAGGGATCAGTGTGTGGACCAACCTGACATCAGCGTAGTAGTTCTAGAGCGCCGGGAGGAGGTAGGAGCGTATCCATCGCCGCAGGAACCACATCGTTGAACGACCAACCTCGGGGCTCAGACAGTCACCTAGCTTGACGTCCGTCGCTCGAGTTTCCACCTCACACAGTCGAAACAACCCAGAAATAAGCCTGAACACATACAGGAAATATTGAAGTCCTAATACTTGTTATCACCAGTTATAGCCATTTGACGCCGTCTCATTATTACAGAAATAACAACTGAATCAGACACAGGTACCACAGCTGATATACATCTTTATTTTTCAGCTATCAACTAAATGGCTAAAACTGTCAACAATATTCAATATGTTGTCCAATGATTGTTTTTAATGCATAGTGTGTCAAAGGCCAAATTAAAAAAATGTTGTGGTTCCGATTACAGCTCTTTAAAATTTAGGGGAGGTAAATAGGAATATTTTTTTTTCACATTCTTTTTAGAAGTAAAGTACATACTAATAACACATTTATCAATGTGTGATTGTTTGTTTAATCAAGCTTGTCGCCATCATGCCATCAGAATGACCAATAATGAGGTCATCCATACCTTTTTAAGGGTAGTACCCCTTCAAAACTGATGTAATGTCAGCAGACGTGACTTGTACCTATCATGTACCCTACATTTAACAACAGCTGAAGTTAAAATCAACCATAAGACATTTCAGTAGTGATTTTCTTATCATCAATATTGATACAAAATATATATGTCTTACAGATCTACTCTATGCAAAGAGGCACATTACTTCAAAACCATTTAGCTTTTTGAGGTGTTTATATTGTTAGTAAACTAATAAACAGTGTCAACAAATAACTATTAAAAGACTTTGGTTTAGAATATCAACTTGGAACAGCTAGTGAAATACAAAGCCTAAGATAAATGCCTCATTCATTGCACAACTGACAATTAGTTGTCTGACAATCAGTGTTCCCTTTTCACCCATTGTTTTCGAAAATGGTGCAAACTTTTAACATAAACAAACAAACAAACAAACGAACATGCACAAAGGGCTTTGATCTACAAAGCTACAACTGTTGTAAGTCAACTAATAGTATGGAAGTTAAGATTGTCAAGACTGTTATGTTAATACTTAATGACAAATTGATCTTTGTTAATTTTTTGCAGGTTCAGTTGTAATTTGATCATTCCTTACATGTACTAAGATGCCATATTGTTTCACAACCAGCACGATTTGAAGTACCCGACATGTATTACATCTAACATGATGCTGTAAACACATCAGAAATACTGAATGACAATTACATCTTGCACCTTCCTAACAACAAACAGTGAGGCAGAAATAATAGTCTGGTTCTCAGGCATTCTCCATAACCTCGGAGACATTCCCCATAACCTTGTACGCATTACACCATAACCTCGGAGGCAGTCTCCATAACCTCGGAGGCATTCTCCATAACCTCAGAGGCATTCTCCATAACCTTGTACGCATTCCTCCATAACCTCGGAGGCATTCCCCATAACCTTGGAGACATTCCCCATAACCTCAGAGGCATTCTCCATAACCTTGTACGCATTCCTCCATAACCTCGGAGGCATTCCCCATAACCTCGGAGACATTCCCCATAACCTCAGAGGCATTCTCCATAACCTTGTACGCATTCCACCATAACCTAGGAGGCATTCTCGATAACCTCGGAGACATTCCCCATAACCTCAGAGGCATTCCCCATAACCTCGGACACATTCTCCATAACCTCGGACACATTCTCCATAACCTCGGAGGCATTCCCCATAACCTCGGAGACATTCCCCATAACCTCGGACACATTCTCCATAACCTCAGAGGCATTCCCCATAACCTCGGACACATTCCCCATAACCTCGGACACATTCTCCATAACCTCGGAGACATTCCCCATAACCTCGGGGACATTCTCCATTACCTCGGAGACATTCCCCATAACCTCGGAGGGCATTCTCCATTACCTCGGAGACATTCCCCATAACCTCGGAGCCATTCCCCATAACCTCGGGGGCATTCCCCATAACCTCGGAGGCATTCTCCATAACCTCAGAGACATTCCCTATAACCTCAGAGGCATTCTCCATAACCTTGTATGCATTCCTCCATAACCTCAGAGGCATTCCCCATAACCTTGGAGACATTCCCCATAACCTCAGAGGCATTCTCCATAACCTTGTACGCATTCCACCATAACCTCAGAGGCATTCTCCATAACCTCGGAGACATTCCCCATAACCTCAGAGGCATTCTCCATAACCGTGTACGCATTCCACCATAACCTCAGAGGCATTCTCCATAACCTCGGAGACATTCCCCATAACCTCAGAGGCATTCTCCATAACCTTGTACGCATTCCTCCATAACCTCGGAGGCATTCCCCATAACCTTGGAGACATTCCCCATAACCTCAGAGGCATTCTCCATAACCTTGTAAGCATTCCACCATAACCTCAGAGGCATTCTCCATAACCTCGGAGACATTCCCCATAACCTCAGTGGCATTCTCCATAACCTTGTACGCATTCCTCCATGTCCTCAGTGGCATTCCCCATAACCTCGGAGACATTCCCCATAACCTCAGAGGCATTCTCCATAACCTTGTACGCATTCCTCCATAACCTCGTAGGCATTCCTCCATAACCTTGGAGACATTCCCCATAGCCTCGGAGGCAATATCAATGAAACCTATGCTATATCTTTAAATTGTTTTCCTGAGAACCAGTGCTATTTGAAAGGTTAGTACAATGGTAGAACAGTGGTGTACTTACACAGACGGGGCTGAGAGGGGGAGGGGGACTGAGGGGAGGAGACCTACAACAGCAGGACCAATCAGATTGAAGATCACACAACGTGGAAACATGGCAGATGATCGTTTTTCTTTTAAAGACATCAGACTACTAATTGTCAGGTTTTAGAGTGTCTAGATGTTCCTACACATGTACAGGGAGGGATCAGTGTGTGGACCAACCTGGGCGTAGTAGTTCTCGTCGGGGAGGAGGTAGGAGCGTATCCATCGCCGCAGGAACCACATCGTTGAACGACCAACCTCGGGGCTCAGACAGTCACCTAGCTTGACGTCAGTCGCTCGAGTTTCCACCTCACACAGTCGAAACAACCCAGAAATAAGCCTGAACACATACAGGAAATATTGAAGTCCTAATACTTGTTATCACCAGTTATAGCCATTTGACGCCGTCTCATTATTACAGAAATAACTACTGAATCAGAGACAGGTACCACAGATGATATACATCTTTATTTACAACTAAATGGCTAAAACTGTCAACAATATTCAATATGTTGTCCAATGATTGTTTTTAATGCATAGTGTGTCTAAGGCCAAATTAAAAAAATGTTGTGGTTCCGATTACAGCTCTTTAAAATTTAGGGTAGGTAAATAGGAATAAATTTTTTTCACATTCTTTTTAGAAGTAAAGTACAAAGTAATAACACATTCATCAATGTGTGATTGTTTGTTTAATCAAGCTTGTCGCCATCATACCTAGCTTCTCTGACCAATGTATGTCGGTGCCGGGAAAAAAACAATGGTATCTGAACGCTTATTTTATTTATACCTTTAAAAAAAAATAGGGTCGGCACCAGAATTCAAGGGTCGGTCGGGTAATCGGAACCACAACATTTTTTTTAGGCCTAAAAATGTTTTTATGTATGTGACAGCATCCTGTACAAAGACAGGGACAGGCACAGGGACAGGGTCAGGGACAGGGACAGGGACAGGGACAGGGACAGGGACAGGGACAGGGACAGGGACAGGTACAGGTACAGGTACAGGGCAGGGACAGGTACAGGGACAGGCACAGGGCAGGGACACATAGGGACAGGGTGAGTGAGTGAGTGAGTGAGTGAGTTTTACGCTGCACACCGCAATATTCCAGCTATATGGCAGCAGTCTGTAAATAATCAAGTCTTGACTAGACAATCCAGTGATCAACATCATGAGCATCGTTCTGCGCAATTGGGAACCGATGACATGTGTCAACCAAGCCACAAGCCTGACCACCCGATCCCGTTAGTCGCCTCTTACGACAAGCATGGGTTACTAAAGATCAATATTCTAACCCGGGCTTTCACGGGTCCACACGAGGACAGGGACACACGGGGACATGGACAGGGACAGGGACAGGCACAGGGACACACAAGGACAGGGACACAGAGGGACAGGCACAGGGACAGACTTGGGGACAGGGACGGGCAGGCCCCGGGGACAGGCATGGGGACAGGGACACACAGAGACAGGCACAGGCACAAGGACAGGGACACACAGGACAGGCACAGGGACAGGGACAGGCACAGGGACACAGAGGGACAGGCACTGGGACACAGAGGGACAGGCACGGGGACAGACTTGGGGACAGGGACAGGGACAGGGACAGACACAGGCATGAGGACAGGCATGGTGACAGGGACACACAGAGACAGGGACAGGCACATAGAGATTTTTTCTGGGTTACATCTTCTTTTTATTCTCTAGTACAACGTTTCAGGGCTTGTTCTGGCCCCATCATCAGGTAAAACTGAACAGTAACTGTTAACTCTGGCCGTGACGTCACAATGCTTATGACGTCACAATGCTATGACGACGCAATACATGTGGAGGACTTCAGTTTCCCAGTCAATTTCATGATCGGGATTATTCATAATTGACTCAAACCACCATCCCCAAATCAAGAGAGCAATTGTTGCCACACTTGCGAGACGCGCGAAAAAGATTTGTAGCCCTGACCTACTGCAACAAGAAACAGACGACCTGATGACAACATTCATCACATACAATGGTTATCCAAAGAACCTTGTAGAAATCACCATAAAGAAAACACTACAAGATCAAGTTCAGCCTCCACTGAAACCTGAACCATCTCCCATCCGCATCAACATCCCGTATGTTGGGCCCATCAGCCACCAAGTCAGCAGACTTCTGAAGAAAATGGCTAGCATTGACACCACTTTCTCGTCTGGCAAAACCCTTAAAACTTTGCAAATGGTAAAGGTTACAATCATGCTATATCCAACCCTAAAGGCTGTGTGTATAAACTGAAATGTGACTGTGGTGACATCTACATTGGTGAGACAGGCAGACCAGTAGCTACATGTGTGAAAGAACACAAAACTTCAGTGGACAAATCAGATCTGAAATCTGCAGTTTCCGAACACATTATGAATAATCCCGATCATGAAATTGACTGGGAAACTGAAGTCCTCGCAAAAAACATCAGTGACTGGCGGAAACGCAAGTTGATTGAAGCTATCTTCATCAAACGCACAAAACCTGCAATAAACAGGGATCAGGGTGTCTACCTCCCAAATTCATGGTACATAAAACAATAAGACAATACCCTATCCTCGTCACTGTTCCCATGTATAAAGCATAATTTCTTGGTATACACTGCTATTACTTTACATTCTATACATTTATAAATACGTCTCTGTACATTTCTAAATCAATCAACAATTTTGTATAAGTATCTGCACAGTTCTAAATTGATCCATTAATTTTGCAGTAAACAACATCTTATATACTAGTATTCATAATAACATGTATTCTATTAGCCATGTCATCTGTATCTATTGACCACCACATGTATTACGTCGTCATAGCATTGTGACGTCATAAGCATTGTGACGTCACAGCCAGAGTTAACAGTTACTGTTCAGTTTTACCTGATGATGGGGCCAGAACAAGCCCTGAAACGTTGTACTAGAGAATAAAAAGATGTAACCCAGAAAAAATATCTATGTTCATCAAATATCATCTTCTAAAATGCCAATCAAGGGACAGGCACAGGCACAGGGACAGGGACAGGCACACACAGGGACAGGGACAGGCACACACAGGGACAGGGACAGGCACACACAGGGACAGGCACTGGGACAGGGACACTGATGAGGACACACGGGACAGGCACAGGGACACTGACGAGGACACACGGGACAGGCACAGGGACAGGGACAGGGACACACAGGCACAGGGACACTGACGAGGACACACAGACACAGGGACAGGAACTAGCCACTGCAGCCTTAGTGTGGATGTGGATGTAGACCATGTAGATGGATTAGCTACTGGCTGCTGTTGAAAGAAATCTAAAATTATCAAAAGTTCAATACAGAGTAGATGAGACAGCATTGTTTACCTGACCACCCAGTCCGTGCTCTGGTCACTTCCTGGAATGCTGCTGAGGGTCTCCCCGGGTGACGCCAGGACCTGCAATGTGGTCTGGACGTTGACATTCTGTGACTGGCTGATTGAGTAGTTCATGACATCGGACGGAATCATGGGGGTCTCGCCTTCAGACTCTTCAGTCAGGACATGTGCTGGAAGAGGGAGGACACTGTCACATCAAATGTTTCCAAAACATCTTGCACATGACTTTGAAAAAAAGAACTGACTGAAGAAAACCAATAAGCAAACAAACATGGTGGCTGTACAGTTCTGAGCCTAACAACAATGGATGTATGGTACACCATAACAGTGTTTGTGGTATAATGTGCGGTACTTTCCATGCATCTGACCCAAATATGAAACCAGACAGCATCTCTGTGGAAGTGAAAGGGTATTGTTTTTTGATAGAAATGCACAATATTGACTACCAAGCGTTTATCAAGTATCTCCAACAGAAAGGGTTAACTCCAACAGCCATTAACTCTACACTGCTTTGAACCACTGAGCTATGTATATGTCCTGAACAGAATGACCAAGACAAGACAAGACAAGACAAGACAAGACAAGAATGTAATTTTTGGAATAAAATTGATATTTTATACTTATCCTGACTCATGCTCTTTTTGCTTGTCTTCTTCTTCTTGCGAACATAGTGGAACACTTGTATCTCCCTAATTGAAGCTCCCTTCAATTTAAAATCACTAATTAGTATTTACCACGAGTTACCTCCCTTCCACAAGCTCGGGAACGAGGGCGCCACCTCTACCCATGTGCCTCACTTTCTCCTCATATACTGAGCCCAACATTTGAATTTACAGGGAAATCCAAAGTGTTATGTGGGGAGGATGGGAGGGCTGATCTCATGAGTCAGGATAAGTATAAAATATCAATTTTATTCCAAAAAATGTAATTTTTAGAGTAAAATTGATATTTTATACTTATCCTGACTCATGCTCTTTTTGCTTGTCTTCTTCTTCTTGCGAACATAGTGGAACACTTGTATCTCCCTAATTGAAGCTCCCTTCAATGTAAAATCACTAATTAGTACTCAGCACGAAGTTACCTCCCTTCCACAAGCTGAACCAGGGCCACCTCCACCCATGTGCTCCTCACTCTCTCCTCATATACTGAGCCCAACATTTGAATTTACAGGAAATCCAAAGTGTTATGTGGGGAGGATGGGAGGGTTTACCTCATGAGTCAGGATAAGTATAAAATATCAATTTTACTCTAAAAATTACATATTTTTCCTTATCCTGACTCATGCTCTTTTGCTTGTAGACCTCGATGGAAAGGGAGGTGGGAAATATATAATACTTTGGATTTTAATAATTAGTGATTTGAACTGTAATGATTGTAATAACCCTATGGGAACTTCATAAAGGTACTGAACTGATGAATTCCTGCTGCTAACTTATCAGCTGCCATATAAAGGTTTATTACAAAGTACTTATTATGATAAAGTATATATAACATTAATACAATGCTTAAGACTAATACACTTAAGCTTGTTAATATGCTAGTATAAACTCCTTAGAGTTTGTTAGCTAAAATACTTTAAGATATAAACATAGTACTAAGCTTAAGATATGATTAAACTTAAGCTTAGTTATATAATAGCAAAACTCTTTAGAGTTTGTTAGTTAATATACTTATATGATATAGATATAATGCTGAGCTTTAGATATGAATAAGCTTTAGCTACATATATAATAGCAAAACTCTGTAGAGTTTGTTAGCTAATATATTTTTACAATATGAGTATAGTACTGTGCTTAAGATATAATTAACTTAAGCTACATATATAATAGCCAAAACTCTGTAGAGTTTATTAGCTTATAGATTAATAATGTAACCATAGTACTAAGCTTAAGATAAGATTAGACTTAAGCTAAATGTATATAGCAAAAAAACTCCTTAGAGTTTATTAACTAATATACTTTTATGTTATAACCATAGTACTGAGCTTAAGATATAATTAAACTTAAGCTATATATATAATAGCAAAACTCCATGGAGTTTTGTTAGCTAATACATTTTATAATGTAAATCCATACTGCTTAAGATATGATGAAACTTAAGCCAATTGTATAATAGCAAAACCCTTTAGAGTTTGTTAGCTAAAATACTTATATGATATAAACCTAGTATTGAGTTTATGAAGGAAAACTTAAGCTACATATATAATAGCAAAACCTCCAGAGTTTGTTAGCTAATATACTTATATGATATAAACATAGTATTGAGCTTTGAAGGAAACTTTAAGCTACATATATAATAATAGCAAAACCTCAGAGAGAGTTTGTTAGCTAATATACTTATATGATATAAACATAGTATTGAGCTTAAGATTTGAAGGAAACTTAAGCTACATATATAATAGCAAAAAAACCCCTTAGAGTTTGTTAGCTAATGAGTTATAATGTAACCATAAAGCTTAAATTATGATGAAACTTAAGCCAAATATATAATAGCAAAAACTCTTTCAGAGTTTTGATAGCTAAAATACCTATATGATATAAACATAGTACTGCTTTAAGATATGAATAAGCTTAAGTTACATATAGCAAAAAACTCAGAGAGTTTGTTAGCTAATACATGTTATAATGTAACCATATTGCTTAAGATATGATGAGATCTTAAGCCAAATAGCAAAAACTCTTTAGAGTTTGTTAGCTAATATACTTATATGATATAAACATAGTACTTGAGCTTAAGATATGAATAAGCTTTAAGCTACCTATATAAAAGCCCAAACTCTGTAGAGTTTGTTAGCTTATATATTTTTACAATCTGAGTATAGTACTATGCTTAAGATATAATTAAGTTAAGGTAAATATATAATAACCAACTCTGTAGAGTTGTTAACTTATATATTGTATGATGTAATAATCATAGTACTGTGATGATAAAAAAGAACTTAAGCAAATTATATATAGCATGTAGCTATTTAGTACTGTTATAAGATAAGTAGAAATCTGTGAGATTGACTTATCTTCTCCGAGGAACTGTCAACTGTAGTGCGCGAGGACCATGGGATCAATTGGTGGATACCTGAGACGCCCTCGTGATGATGATATCTCTCAGATAATGGTTGGCAACCACCATATCGGATCTCCAGAAAATAAACCCTCCATTATTTCAAATAACATTGTGTAGATCAATGCAGAAGTTAGCGCTCTAATATCATGAGTATTAAAAAGCTCATGGAGGGTCGGATTGGGTCCATCCGGCCTTGTATGCACGTAGTATGACAGTTCTGATCCAAACGGAGATATAGTACGCGAGATTTCATTCCATGCGAAGTTGATGATAGAGGAAATAATCTGTTGTATTACTCCCTTCTGTTTGGTTCGGTGGAGATAAATTTACAGTGCTCTTGCTGGCCATCGTGATAGAATCATCGTGATCATGAAGTCCAAGTATGTCATCCAGGCGTTGTTCATAAACCTCACTTGTGAGGTGTTGGAGCACTATATTCAGATCCTCAAGTTGGAGGGTGAAACTTCCGCTTTAATTCTTCAATCAGAAAGTTTAAATAGGTTTACTAACCATCTAGTTGTGTTAGTAGCTTGATTATGAAATTCAGCTGTAGTCTGAGACGCTTGTGGATTTAGATCCACTTGTATCCCGTCCGCCTAGGTTATTCGCCAAGCGGTCCTTGACGATGTAGGTGCACAACCAGGTGTGTCTGTCCTCGCTGAAGTTTATGTAAAATTGCCTGACTGCCGCGTCTCGCGCCCTAACTTGACAGGGGAGGTCTCTAACCTGAAGAAAGCAGCCCAATCATGAAGGTTCAGATTAACTGGACTGTAAGGAGGCTTGCTCGCTCGTAACGTAAGTGTTGACCTGTGAAGTAAGATCGACCTCTGCGTAGGTTGTTGTCCAACGCGGTCCAATCAGAACAAGGCATTTTGATTCTGTAGAATACCCGCGCTGTGATGTCACCGGTGTAGCAGGAAAAAACCTTGTATAAAATCTTGCCGCCGCTGATATTAGCATAATCGCCGGTCTTCACCGTAAGCTTCCCGGTTACCCGAAAGTGACCACGCATTTCGAGGGTTAAAGGTAAACGCTGAGCCTTGAAACCTCCGCCAAAATACCTCGCCTGTAATATTAATGCTGGGTAGGTTATTTTCCTGGTTGTCGTGAAAGTAACTTCAGTTTTGAATATAATTCCGACTTTCTTATATAAAGGTACAATAAACTTGCAAGTTGTCAGCTTGTAGACTGTATACATGAATGTATCGGCCATAATTGTAGAATTAAAGCTGAACTTGTTGTACATATTTCTTCTCAGAAACTTTGACGATTATGAGTTATACTCGCTGTAACAAGGCTGCTGTTCAATTTCGATATTGAATTGTCTGCAGATCTGCGTAATGGTCACGCATGTAGATACTCGTATCGAAGTCCGGGATTGCATATTCTAGCAATCTATACGGAAAGGTTGATTTCTGTGAAGATCTATGCAACGCCGCTGATTAATTAATATAGCGGCTCGCTTTGTGTTGTAAATAGCCTGTGCAATTGTCTTCGCGTAGAGGCTTATAGACGGCATATGGCATACAGTTGATAGACAACTTATGCGATGTCTTGAACGGACTGACGAGTAGCTATATATGACGAAAGTGGCTAATATATGGAGACCTTGGAGGAGAATTCCTCGGTGGACGCCGGAGATTTCGCCAAGCCTCGAAGCATCCAATCTAGATTTCCTGTATGAGGTAGACTTGAGCCCACTTAGCCTTCGCGACCTTCGCGAAGGTATTGAGTCAGAGCCCGATCAGTATATATATAATATATGAGCTTGCTTCGCTAATCCACCTCTGTGTTCAACAGGAGTGAGTGAGTGAGTGTATTGTTTTACCGCGACTCAGCAATATGTGGGTCTGGTGAGCGTAACTGGTGAGGCTTCTAGCTCCTTCCTTCGGAGGTGGCCTGGGACTTCCTAGGCTAAGCGTCTAGAAATCGATCAATATATGAGCCGCTAGCTTCATACAGGGTGTGGTTCTTGCTGGTTTTGCATAAGTAGAGCCAGTAGATCATCCTATCATCTTCAGGTCGTCGTCACCTAAATCTGGTGATAAGAATCTCATTGATCGCTCTAGATCTATTAATGCCAACAACATATACGCCTCTGGCGCTTGAA